AGAACGAGTTGTGCATTTCGAAAAGAAAGGAACAATCAGGATTTTACCTTCATAAAATTCGAGTGCTTTGTTTTATTGATGAAGTTTAATAGATTATTATGGTCTCTACTTCACTTGACACGTTTCGCCATAAACTCAGAAATTGAATGAGCCTATCTCTACCCACATATGAGTTTTAATCAATTCATATCGTCCAGAATATGAAAACTAAAGGGTAACTTTTACTAGAACATCGTATTAGTCGTTAAATCTTCGAAATGGACATAATGTACATTATTCATGATCGTTAAAATGCTCCAATTCTCTGACAGTACAGCGTGAAGACGTTAATTTGTTCACATGTAAAATCTCTGAAGTATAGACGAATCAAGCCACAGTTACGGCCCACAAATGACGTTACGTCGCTGATCCCAAATTTTTTGCTGATATCTCTTGTTTCATTGCACAAATTCAGAAGGTCCTCTTCAGAATGAGAAGTTTCAGATGACGTATCTTTGACTGGCTGTAAAGTATAGGATTAAAATACATTGTACGACTAATCATGCTGCCAAACAAGTAAGTAGCAATATTTTCTACTTTTATCACAGTTCATACATGCGAATCAGTTAATTAATTGGTTGGTACGACTCGTCTCCACATACTCTACAAATCCCTACACTTCCTTCATCCGGTTTATTGTCTGGCGTCGGCCTTTTTACGAATGCCTTCGTTCATGTGGTTTATGCTGCTACTTGTCGATTATTGCGTCTTTATGAATTCCGTTGAACATTGGTTGCGTTGATTCTCCCTAGCATCTTGGATAGCTGTTATAGAGCGTTCCCATGTATTCATCAAAGAAGCTTGGTATCAGTTTACCTATCGCAGAGGGATGCAAGAATTGGTTGGCCCTGGAAGGAATCGAACCAGAGAGCATGCGCAGCCAGTTGCACATCTCAAACAACTGTTCCCTTAGCCCCGTTCCACTGTATATGACGATAATAGTCATGATGACAATAACATAACGCGTCACATAACACTGAATAATTAATGTTCTCGAGTTGCAAATCGATACTCAAATATAATCGACTTCTATAAAACTATCTGAGAGAAAGGCGAAACGATGGACGCGCATGGTGTGGTCGTGAGCACGTTAACCCCCGGAAAGGGTAGTAGTATGTTCGATCCCTACCACAGACATCTACGGTCCGGAGTTTTGCAAATATCTCAGCATCATTAGCATCACGGTTGAATAATCGACTTCGTTTATCTTGAATACCTACAAAACAATAAAGCACCTTATGGAAACTAGCTGAAATCTTCACACAGTCGGTGCTAGGCTGCGCAAAAAAAACATGCGCAAGTAGCCCAATGATAAGATATGCCTTGCAATGCACACATGGTTTCTGGTTGTATCCCACTCCACGACTAGCCAAGTCTCCGCCCCTTCAGGATCGGCAAGTTGACCAGAGTTGTTTAGGCGGATAAAGATATTGAACTGATATATCGGGAGGCCTCCGAAAGTCATTTTACAGATCAATATACTCACTTTCGACGACTACGCTATGAATGGGGTCGAATGCATAGCGCATCCGTAAGGGATCGATCAACATTAATGGTTTTACTTCTCCATCAGATTAGAAAAGGACGACAAATTTAGAATCGTTGTATTCTCGTTTTTGATTTAATTGTGAATCATACGAAACATTACACTAGGTTTCGAATTTCTTGTTCGGAAATGTATCATGAAAAGGTCTTACCTTAAGTGATGTCATCATCTTATTCGTGGATGAAAGTGTCTGTTCATCATTTACAGTATTTCGCTGGAAAATTAAAGTTATCCTGTTTATATTAATTTGAATACTTATTGGATCGAATAGCTAAGAGTGATAGGAGCCATTCACAGACCTTTTTGCTCATCACCGATCGAAGATCCTGAAAGGTGTCCTTGATGTGCCGACCTCCTCGCGGTAGTATTTTCATCTTTCGCATTCGTTTCTTATTTGATCGTCTTCGTTTTTTCCCTCTCGTTCGTCTTTTTCTAACAATGCGAACGTCCTCGTCAAAAGTGTTCGACGCAGTCTGCAATCGCAATAAAATATTTCCGTCAACAGCTCGTGGGACTAACACTGATGCGAAGGAAAACAGTAGAAGATTATCTTCGCTTATAAAGTTACTCTCGAAATTACCATTGTAAGGTTCATTATAAAATCGATTTTATTATTTCGTCAGAAATTTCTGCAGACTGTAGCTACACAGGAAATAATTCGTGATGATTCAACAATCGTATAGCACCGTCCTAAGAAAATCATTTAAAACGACGGTTTTTGCGAAGAATTTCTGCTGTTCGATAGTGAACGTCTTCTGACATTTTTATGATATGGAGAGAAAAAAGCTATCCAATCAAATTTGAACGTGCTCTAAAGAAAAAAAGAAAGAAGTTCAATATGGAATGGGCTGTAGTCATTAAAATAGTGGCTGATTCGTGGAAAATTGATTAGTTTGTATAAAGCTAAAAGGCAAAGTTGTTGGCGTTGATCAATCCCTCAAGGATGCGCCATGCATTCGACCTCATTAAGCATCATTTGGAGCTGATTGAATGCATATCTGGCCGTTACAATGACTCGCGGTGGCCTACCAATGTATCCAGCAAGTGCTGCTCCTAGACAAGTCTGGCACCAATTTCCCGACCCTGCGGGATGGAAGGCTTAGTGAACCATGGGCGCGAGGATCAGTCCTATGTGCGTGCCGCAGGGTGCCTCTGACCACTGCGCCACACGCGCCTTTGATTAGATCGTATGGTGCACAAGAATAAGCATCGATGTTTACTTTTTTATATGAAATTTTCACCTTTTCTTGATTAAATGCCGCAGCATTTTTATTACTGTGGAATGTTTTTTGGTCCAATATCACGCTTTGCTGAACTTCGTCGGTATCTCGTATTCTGTCGACGAAAGTCGTCGTATGGTCAGATTTTTCATCCTAAATCATGCAGATTTGTTTTATACATGGTCCATGGGGGTTCATGAAAAGACTGCTCACAATAACCTTAAATTTTTTCTCAAAAGTGAAGTAGTCTAGGAGGAGATATCAAGAAAAGGCTATTAAACTAGCAATTCACCAGGCATCGCCAATAAAACGATGTTACGAAAACTACAATAACATCAATGAATTCGAATCGTTTATAGAGCTTTCCGAGATGGAATATATTTTTTGTACGATATAAAATAAATTCTCCTTAACTTTTCATAAGGTTGTTGGAAGAGCGATGCCGAATGAGGAACTGGATCCAAATAGACTCGTCGTAAACCCTGAGGATGTGGAAAACTACGATCACCATTACATAGTAGTAAATTTAATTCTACCCACCTCACATGAGTAAAATATACCCGCAAAAAGAAGAACAAGAAACACTCTCATATCCGCTGAGCGGAAGGAACTCAGTCTTGAGTTCAAACCAGTTTGGAGACAATTTGCTCGCTGAATAACTAAGCATTGAACAAATTGTAGGAGAACAGACTATGTGTTACAAAAGAAAAATAAGGGTTGTAGGAGAGGATACTAGGACGGTGTAGCGTTTCAAAAACGAGGAACTCAGTGGAAATCGAATATTGGAGCGCAACGATATCAAAAGATCTTCACGATAAATGTGATAGTCGGCGATGAACAACAGTGGAACTAATGCACATGTGGCCGAGGGCACTTGTTTGCCAGAGCTAGTTTCTTAGTGAGTGTTACTTTTCCCGGATACAGTTCGATTTGTAGGATCGGGATAATGCCCGAAAATCGTTGGCCTAAATTCATAACGTTGATGCGCGAGTGATCGTCGTAGAAAACTGATTAACATTTAGACTAAAATATTTAAAAAGCTTTACGAAAAAATATAGAACCGCACCGCGTGACCCCCCCCCCCCACCGTAATTAAACGAAGGCAAATGTGACTTTGCGATGTTACACTAATTAAGAAGAAATTAGGACATCAACAAACGAAACTGATGACCCAGATCATTAGTGTGTTCGGTGGTTTAAGAAATAGTACACAATGTCGAGCAAATGGTCATCATATCTTCAAACTTCGGGATTTTACTTCTTCTTAACGGCTGTGTTCAACCCATGTTTTGGATGTTTTGCCGCAAAACTCACCAATAGCTACAAATAGTGACGGAAATTAATAAAAATGACCGATTACTTAACACTTTATCTACACTTAAACACCATAACTGAAGCATAGACAAAATAACATGTAACTATCTGGTAAAACAAATAAATTAGATCTGTAAAAGTACGTGATTCCACGGACACAATCATATGGATGGGCCGAGGTATGTAGTTGCGGCGCGCTTCCTTATCGAGCCAGGTAGGTGATTAAACTTCCACGGAATAATTAAGAGATCAATAGAAATACAAAAAACATATAAACAACTTAAGAGTTATCTTCAATTTTCTTCATATATACGACAGCCATTAAGACAATCTTGTAAAGACAATAATTTTATAACGTACGAGCAGACATTTCATAAACAAAGAGATATCATATCAAATATGCTTATAAATCTTTCTATAGATAGTACTTAGTGAATTAATTAGTTAATTAGTAAACAAATGCGTGAGTAAACAAGACCAAGAAACATTTGTTAGGAGAAATCAATTTACGGCGATAGTGATACCTCAGAAATTCATGATGAACTAGAACAAGTAAATTGCAGTGAAAGAAAAAATCCTGTCTTCTTTCTTCTTAATCAAAGTCGCGTTAGCTCAATAATCGATGAAGAGAGTGAAATATGTCTGACAGCGTGATGTTCACAGAGAAAATCTGACCAATCACTAAAAATACGACGAGAAATTTATGAATATAGGTTCTGAAGACTGAGGACATCATTTCTACCTTCGTCGTCTACATTGCATTAGTACTAATAATGTTAATTCTCTTGGAAAAATCATCTACATTATGACTTAATGGGATGCGCGCATCGCAGTGGCTACAGGAGCCTTGCAATACACACGTGATGTGTTTCATCCTCCACTCAGGGATAACCAAACCCTCCCTTTTTCCGGTTACCACCAGAGCTTCATGTGGGATTAAAACACTGATTTGCTGCATTAGCAGGGTTTATCAACTCGTTATATGGGCAAAATACGTAATAAGCCACGTCTGCGATTGAAGTTGAATACGTGCGGCTTCACTAATTTATTGGTCACCACAAAACGCTTTATCCTTTTTATGATTTGAGAGGTAAAATTTATAATGTTGACCGTCTTTTAAAGTATTTTTAGTCCAAAATCAGTTGATTCTTCCAGTTTTGCAGAATACTAGTTCCACTACCTCGTCAGTTTTTGCTTTTTTAGGCTCAACTTGATCCTGAGTTGAACCCTCAGCGGCTCTTTTAGCATTACTTTCGTTTCGCCGATCATCACTCTCGTTTTCACCATCATAGAATTCGCCAGCGTCTTGTGTAACAACATCCATTATCGAACCTATATTAATTAAGATGTCATTATGTGTAGAGCAATGCAATGAAGAATCACTATCACCCATAAAAGTTATTAGTTCAGACTCCGTCTCACCTAACAAAACTTTTATTTTGCCAGAACCAATTATTCACAAGATAATCTACTCCAGAAATGACAAAAAAGATGTCAATTTAGAGATCCCGTGTATACACATCCCTCGCTCGTGTAAAGGAGTGATTAGAGGTGCCCTGCACCACATACTTGGTCTTCGATCTTGCGCCTGGGCTAACCAAAACCTCAATCCCTAAGCAGCCATTAGGCTGATACCACTCTTATCAGAGAGGATAAAAATACTCACTCGATCTCATCGATAAGCCTTTACAAGTCATTAAATAGGCCTAATATCCATTCAGCCACTTTTACGATGCTACTAGTTGAGCCTCATTTATGGCTCATACCTATGGAATTCATCAACATCGATCGTGTTGTCTTTCATTCTTTGAAGGATACAGCCACATTTGTTGGCTACTTTGTCAAATTTATGGTTGGGTTAACAATGTAGTGATGAGATCCCAAAAGATTTTCGAGAACATGGAATTTATCCCTTACTTTTCAGGAAAATATTGTAGAACTTTCTATTCGATATAAAACCTCTCAAACTTTGTTTGTAGCAATTTACGTAATTATTATTAAGCGAAGATGTAAGTTTTCTGTCTGTTCTAAAATTTTGAAAAAATATAAGCTTTTCTCATAACGCTTTGGCAAACAAAGCGTTTGAAAATGATTTATGTTAAACGGTGGAGTGCCTCCATGGTAAATTTCACTAGCAAAAAATTGACTCACGGTGTAAGCGAACATCTGGATCTGCCATATCCTGACCCAAACTGCTGTCACTTAATGTCTTGAGAGCATCTTCAGGTACAGCTAAAATCGCTGTTTCATTTTTTCAAACATCTAGGAAACAAAATTTTAAGTTCAAATAACCATCAAAAGACATCCGAAGTGAGCTATTTGTATTCTGCCTTGTTTGTTCTTAATTAGTAACAGATAATAAGGAAAGGATCTTCTTTTACTCATATTCCTACTTATCTTATACATTTTCGTATTTTATATGTTCATATTCGTCAAAACAACTCACCACAAATACTGTGCTATTAATAAGATATTTTCAGAAAGGAAAATGAAATACAGTTCATAGGATTATAAACAGAGTCAAAAGAAGAAAAACTTTCGAAACGTACGCTGCATTTGAACGCTAGGAACGAATGCAAGTTTTTCCAGATTTTGAATCACCGCCTCTCTGGAAATCAACAAGAATTTATTATGACGTGAAATAAAGAAAAAATTCAAAAGTTTAGAATTATATTCTAAGAAATGAATTACTGGATTCTTCGTAATGATTCCGGTGAATTTTCGTTTGTGGCACTTGACGGTTCAATGTGAAGGCGATAGTTTGGACCAAAATACTCGAAATAATCGTTATACGGTAGCTCTAAAAGACAAAAGTACCCAAGTGAACATTATATTGATAAGAAAAGCATTTTCGTCGAAAACAAACAGAGACACTGACCATTAGGTACCTCGCGTTCAACGGCCAGTGTCGTTTCATAAGTCCAGCAACGTGCTACATTACGTGGAGTGTATCCACCACCTCCGACCATCATTAGTGGGATATTTTGAGCTCGAAAGAATTTCACGCATTCACCATGACCCAAAATGAAGATGTTTAACGCAAAATCTCTACCTCCTGAACTCTGGCTTCAATCTGGTCTTCTAGAAGTGGACAGAAAGACAACTTCGACGAAAACAAGTAATAATTTTGCGTATTTTCCAGAATACCTCTCAACGTCAAATTGAAGGGACCAAGACGATCTCCATTCAGAGAGTCAGCCCCACACTGCAACACAACAGCACATGGTTGAAATCGCTCCATTACTTTTGTCATCACCTTAAAAAGAATCAGCCATTCAGTTCCTTTTCCCAATGAACCAAAAACATTGCTATTAGTTTTGTGGGTGTGATCCTCTGTGATCTACCCTCTGATATTCGAGTTGCGATATAAAGCATGAGGAGAAGGGGAGCTACAGCACTCGACAATATCACCATCGACTTTTGAGCTCGAGGCTACAAATTACATATTTCATATGTAATTACATACGTTTTCATCAGGAAGCCTAGCTAAGAGTAAATCAATACCAGGATCCACCACCCTCCTGGTATCAAAGTCGCATGGTGGTAAATCTTCCTCTGATCCGCAATGGCTGCGACTGCCTGTCATGGTGACGACCTGGGGCAGACTTTGGCCAGGTTGACCTCGTGATTCCAGGGAACCACAATAGCTTAACCAGCAAATCTTCGAAAAATGGTGATTATGCTGGGCCTGCACAACTAGTGATGATGGGCCGTTCAAGTATCAAATAAGTAATTACATCCATATAATTACATATATTTTGCAGATAATATGATATCTTACATTCAGAGGGAGAAAACCTGAGACCAGCGGAGGATGCCGCGACGGTCGTCTTGTCCAGGAAGAATGACCGAAGAGATTTATCGTCCGATATACTTGATGAGTGTATTTTACAAGTTACTGATAAAGAGTACTCTAATGTGCAAGCTAGGACTTTGGATAAGGCGCAATCAGTTGAGCAAACAGGATTCTGACAGCGTTTCTTCTGCTTGAATCACATCCAAACGATATCACGAGTCATAGAAGTCCGTCTGGACTTCCACCTACCATTTGTTCTTACCTTCATCCACTGCGAAAAAGCGTTTGACAGCGTTAAAACGAATGAAATCTTATCAGCACTCGTCGACCAAGGAGTGGTACTATATATGAACACCAGCTAAGAAACCGCAGCACAAAGACAATGCTTTTTCACCGACCCCTCAGCGTAAACATAGGAATAGGGGTCGAATAAGGTGAAACTAGTCCGCTAAAGTTGTTTGCTGTTGCATTGCAGTGCGCAATAAAGCCACTTGATAGGGATGACAAAGGCATGCACATTGAAGCGGAATTTCCAACAAACCTTTATTTCGCGGATAACACCGCCTATCTTTTCGAGGAGTGCCAGTGAAGAAGCGCGTTGTTCAATGAACTCAAAGAAGAAGTAAAAAGATTTGACTGCGCATAGATAGGACAAAGACCGCTCGATAAAAAACTCACTGTGCGAAGGCGAACAGATCAAATTGAATGGCTCTCTGATCACACAGACGACTTCGCATGCATACCTTGGGTGTTCAATGGTCATGGAGAACAACGTGGAGGAATTCGATTGAATAAAGAGAGCAGCATAAGCCGCATTTGGTCCCCCCAAAGAAGCCACCAACCAGCAGGCAAACCCAAAACTCCACGCTCACTTTTTCTGCTCAATAATGCTCTCAGCGATCTGTTATGCAGCAGAAACACTGGCTGATAATTCAGCCATGTCAAGAAATCTGCTCGCCACCGTCCGAAGACCGCTTGAACGATGCCTTCTGAAATTCAACCGCCACTCACAACGTCTAGCTGGAACGTGCAGTTCAGATATCCCAAATCTATGCAGTCTTCGCAGTAGAATATACATCGACAGAAACGCGCAGATAGGCCGGTCACACAATAAGAGAACAGATGACAGACGGGCGAAAAGAACAGCGGAGTTGAAATAGAATGCAAGCGTCCTCTTCGTCCTCTTGGAAGACTCCCGAAACGATAGGCGGACGTGTACTGCCGATGTCAAGCACCTGCGTTAGCGGATGGTAACAGTTTTGCGATTATGGGTTGGGACTCACGCATGTCACGCGTTCGCACGTGACCACAACCTTGGACAATGATTTCGCAGGAAAAGAATGAGTGGAAAATGTGTTGCAGTCCGCAGTCCCATTGAAAACGGGTGATCCAAGCTTCCAATTTTCCAAGTTCTTTGTTTCATATTTGGGTAATCACTAAGCTCAAGTACGATACTAAGACGTCTCGACATGGTTTTTTTTCACTTCATAAGTTTTTTTTCTGGCAGAAAATGCTATGTTTATGAGTGAAGTAGGTATTTAAATTGTTTACTTTCGTATGAAAAATGCTAGTAATATTGGTAAAGAGAACAAAGCACACTTACTGGTTTGAATATGCTTTGGTAAGCATCATCAGTAATTCCATCCTTCAGTGGTACATTTAAGGAGTAAAGTCGCCCCTTACCAGCTCCGATATCCTAAATGTACAGTATTTCTTTTTATTTTTTATTTCTTTTTTCCCCCTTTCCCTTTTTATAAAAATGGTGGGTAAGACTTTAGTAAATCTTTCCTACGATATACCGAACCACGTCCAAAAGAAATAAGATTGCGTCAAGTTAACAGATTCATACTCACGATAGCGATCCTGTCATTGTATCGCGCTGAAGTTTTTGCCTGCTCCTTTGCGGGCCTGTGCCGTGTACTCCTCCTTCACCGCCTGAGACACCTAGCCCTCCAGTTGCACAGCCGTACTTCCCAAACGCTTGACGCGGACGCCCGGTTGCCCCACTTTATGGTCACCGCGGGAGTTCCCCCTCATCTCATCCACACCGATCCTAGACGACCTTAGACACTGGCTCATAGGCGCCTTCCACGAAGTCCAGTATTAGACTCAAAGGACTGAATAGAATAAGGAAAAGCCAGTGCAACATTATCACCAATAAGACTGATGCTAAATTAAGGCGCAATGATTGGTTTTTGCTGTCGACTAACTTTTTTGACTCTTAAATTTGTACTTCGTCGTTTTCTCTCTCAGCAATCGCGAGGTTGTTAAACAGCATACGTTTACTTCCACACCATAACACATATGCAACACAATCGTAGCTGACGTTTCGGCAGAATCGCCTTCTTCAGAACCTGGAACGGTACAATAATACGCAACTTAGTAGGTCAAACGCTTCAATAGCACAAACAGAAGGCTCTGAAGAAAACCATTCTGCTGAAACGTCAGCTACGGTTGTTTTGTATGTGTGTTATTGTATGGAAGTAAACGTATGCTGCTTAACAACCTGGTGAGTGCTGAAAAAGAAAACGACGAATTTATAATCCAATGCTGAGGTTAATAGAAAGTCGATCCTGGGAACTGTTAAATTTGTAATGTTCTTCAGATTTCGTTTCAGCCTCATCTCACCTTCAAATCACCGGTCCCCGGAAAGAAGTCACCATATTTGTGAAACGAGACAGTCATCACACGATCAGTAGTATAAAACGCCTCTTCGACACCATCTCCATGATGAACATCGATGTCAACGTAGAGAACCCTGGACAAATGGATTGGCAACATCAGTAATTCACAAACTTTTTTAAAATAATATATGGAAATGGTATAACAATACAATACAAAAGATAAAAATGGGTAATTATTCGGTGTTCATTAATCCTCGTGGGATGCGCCATGCATTCGACTTCATCAGGCATCGTTAGAGGTCTTTGAATGCATATCTGGTCTACACAGTGGCATCTGCTGACCAATCCATGTGTTATCCCAGTGATTTTATCCTTCCAGATAAGCATCGTACCATTTTCGAACGCCGGTGTAATAGAGGGCTTGGTGAGCCCGGGCGCAGGATCGAACGAAACACCGTATTGAAGAGTACCTCTAGCCGCTGCGTTACACGCGCCTATATTATAGTATGACATGATATAATAGATTCCACAATAAACAACAGACCTTTTGTGATATTTTAGTAACTCCAATATCCCGAGTACAATGTCATTTGTATAACAAAATCCACTAGCCTCGCTCTTCTTCGCATGATGAAGACCACCCATCCAGTTTATCGCAATGTCCGCTTTCCTTTTGTTCAGTTTGACAGCAGCGGCTATAGATAAAAAAAATTAGAGTTTCCAGTTTCTCAGTTACTTCAAACTGAAATAAGCGGCTGAATAAGAACATGATTTTTTTCACTGGAATATTATAAAAGAAAAAAATAGAAAAAAATGAAATCACCTAATGAACCACCACTGCTCAACTGACAAAACTCATACAGGCCATCGAATAGCGGACAATCTTCACCAACGTTAACTGAATGAAAATACTAAACGATTATGAAACTTTCGAAAAAAGCATCAAACACAGTTAAAAATAATGCTCAACGTATGAAACTTCATGAGAATTCACATTTTAGCATTTGCTTATTATACATTTTCAAATTGTCCGGACTGGCACATTTGAGGAAACTCATATACTCTTCGCTGTGAAATCGTGTCATTTCTTCGAATGTTGCCGGAAAAGGTCGCTAAATTAGTTATTTTTAATGACAATGAAAAAATTGAAGCGATGTCAAGGCAACAATCACAGTATGGCGTATAAGTGGTTGATCAGAAGCTCACAGTTAACACCGTGGAACCACCGTAGATAACAATATTGAAAACCTATAGTTTTTTATACAAACTCCCAAAATCACCGAAATATTAGTAGCGAATGGCAACTTACATACACTTCAAGATGTCTGTAAATTCCATAGTTTAGTAAGAGATGATGAGTCATTCTTATCCTGTGTGGTTTCATTACATGTCCTTGGCCATAGTAGTAGTTTCCAATATTGGCTAAAATTGAAGTAAACCTTCTTTCTAAATCGCAAAAACGGCAGGTGATACCTAAGTTAAAACCGAGTTCTCATCTGTTATCAGCTTGATTACAGCAGATCATTGAGATATTACTAACATGTTTAAAAATTACACTAATCGCTGAGGAAAACGAAAGCGTCGAAACGTTAGTCAATTAAATGACTGGTAACAACCTCGTGTTAGCTCATCAGTGAAATAAGGTCCATTAATCGTTCATACTGGGGTTAAATGATGGTCGGTTTACAGTAGTATTACCTCGCTACATGTAAGCTTATCTAATACCGACTTCCACAGGATGGACTGTTCGTTGAAAAACAGATTGTTATCAGTGAGTAATATCAGTATCATCAACAACCGCTCTGTATAAAACAACGCTGCAGAGTGAGGTTGTCTCATTCGATTGGGGCCACACTGAAGAAGATCAGAAGCGATACACTGACAAAGACACCACATCGAGAAGACGAACGGCTGTGGACCGTTAACTCGGATCATCGGCCTTGGGGTAGACGAAGCCGTCGAGACGTTTCCCGAATAAAATTGTTTGTCAACCTCATGTTAGGTTACGGATGAAGGAATCCATGTTAACAAAATAGCTTACAAATATGAAAATGTACAAAGTACAAAAACAGTCATAGGACTAACAGTCATAGTAATACGCCACACGGCGTTTACCGTGCTCGCTGACCGGATCGTTATGCGAATTCATCGATGAGTAACGGAACTTTTTCTCCTACTCACTGAAAAAAATCGTTTAGTTTGACAAATAAAGCACACATTAATAAGTTTCGTGACAGACGCCTGGTCTTGATGAACATTTTAAACAGACCGTTTTGAATGTTAAATCTTTTTTCTCTACTTTTGAGAAAAACGAGGCAAATTTTCGTAATACGAGCCATTAGACGAAAGAAACTTGGTAAAAATGAAGTGCTAAGTCAAATATAGTGAGAAATTGTAAAAGGATAAAACTCCTGGCGTTGATCACTCCCTGCGGGATGCGTCATTCATTCGATCTCATTATGTATCGTTGGAGGTAATTGAATGCATATGTGCGCTATATAATGACTCGCGGAGCCCTACCGATGTATTGAGTCAGTGCTGTTGCCCTCTCAGACAGGTCTGGTCCCAACTAACCGATCACAGAGAGATGGAAGGCATAGGAAGACAGGGGCAAGGGATGGAGCCAATTTGTGTTGCAGGCCTTCTCTAACTACTGTGCTACACGCGCTTCTTTAGTGTAATATAGTGATATTAGGTCAAAAAAGAAACTTTTGCAGAATGTGTTAATGATTCGAGCTTTTCTAATCTTAGAAATATTTCATAGAAGCTTGTGCTTATTCGTGACAAAATCTCTTTAGAATCGGATACCAAAATCCGGCTTAAAGGATAAAAGTTAAAACTCCTGGCGTTGATCACTCCCTGAAGGATGCGCTATGCATTAGACTCCATTCGTAGCGTCGTTGGAGGTGATTGAATACATATCTCTCTTTTATGATGAGCCTATCGATATATCACGTCAATGGTGTTACTTTCCCAAACAGGTCTGGTATCAATTTGCCCACCCAAATTAGAGGTGGCCTATGGCCTCTGTGCACACGCGCCAACTTTTGTTATACAAAGTGAAAAATGTAATATAAATGTATAACATAATATAATACAATAATAAATATAATAAATATAAATAATGAATATAATAACAAAATGTAAATATAAATAAAAAATAAAATAATAAACAAATAAGTAAATAATAAATAATGAAGAAATAATAAATAAATAAATAATATATGTAAAAAGAAGCATGAAATAACCGTAAAATATAACATAATAATAAATATAAAATATTAATAAAATATAAATATAAAATAAAATAAAATAATGAATAAAATTAGTAAATAATAAGCAATAAATGAATTATAAAATAAATAAATAAATAATACATAAAATAAACGTAAAATAATAATAAAACATAATATAACATAATATAATAATAATAATATATAAATCATCTTGGAAATGTTACTACTGAATAACTCAGAAACCATGAAACCTTGTTAACAAGTTATCCTTAAGGAAATCTGAAGAATATTAAATGAAAGAACCGTAAAGATGATTTAAGTTGCGGCAATGTTTTTACTTTGTTTGAACATAATATTAAAGTGGGAATGTTTAAAACCGCTTAAAAGGAGTGCACTACAATTAAGAACAAAAGCTGAAGGCGAAAACTAGCGCTAGGAAACGTTAATAAGGCGAAATATAGTAAAAGAATCAGTTTTAGATGAAAAATAGATCGATAGTGGGTGGGTGGGGTGGCGGCTGCTGATGGAGCACGGCGGTGGGGCGTGGTGTGTTGTGACAGCGCCGAGGCAATCTGTTGGGTCCGTGAGGTCGGGTACAGCGAACTCTTAGACCTCATCTCAGACGATTGCTGTGTTGCTAACCGAATACTGTTAAACAGCTAACGGCAACTGTCGGCTGGTGAGATTTTTGATGGAACGACACCTAAATCATACAAGAACAAGATTTTCCTATTGGACACTCTTGCAGGCCGCTTTGCCGTCACCGAGGGTTTCAGGACAATTTCCATTCGTTTCTCTCGCAGACAATCGTCATCCATGGTCGTGGTTTGCTTCGAACGTTTTAACGTGCACGAGGACTATTTCCAATGCCGAAAAGCGTTTGCGTCTGCTAATGCAGATGGTTGACGTTAGCCGCGATCATGCCCACTCATCGTGTGAGTGATCTTCCAAGAGGATACTTGCATTCTCTAGAAGCCCACTCCACTGTTTTTTCCTTAATCTGTAATCTGTTTTTCATACTATGTGACCAGGCCATCTGCGTTTCGCAGTCGGCGTATGCCATCCTGGTCTCCGAAAATTGGGTAAGTTCCGAAGATATGAGCTACTCATTCCAACTAGACGTTGTGTGTACCGGATTAATTTCAGAATGCACCGCTCAAGCGCCTATGGATGGCGTGCAGACTACTTGACGCAGTTGAACTATTAGCTAAGTTTCTGCTGCGTAACAGAGGGATGGGAGGATTGTCGAATTAAAGAGGTGAGCGCAGATACCATACGTTTAGCTGCTCGGTGACTTTTTTGCAGACCAAGATGTGCCTCGAGCTACTCTCCTTTCTTTGTATAATTCATAGTTCATGTGTTACTTGAACCTCTCATATGAGATATATAAAAGCCATGGATCTCCCTCGTATGAGAGATCTCAAGCCAGTTAGTCGCGACGCTACGTGACTGGTCCTCAGGTAGCGGATAGGGGGTTAAGGGCGGATCAAATGCGGCCTTTGCTTCGCTGAGATGCAGGTGGATCCAGGGGATGGACTTCCTGTTTCTGCTACACCGATTTGGCACACATTTTCTGTACTTACGAGGTGTATTCATGCATGTTTGCATAAGTGCGTTCTCGTTTACGCGGATTGTATTCTACGAGTCAATTCCATCAAAAGCCTGCAACTAAGTGACTAGGAAGTATATGGAAGGCGGTTAGGAGTCGCCTCCAACAAATAAGCTCCATGTCCACTCTGGGAGAGCCTGGCCAGTTACCCGTGAGTATACCCAACCCTCACGTTCAGAGCTCAGCAAGCTATACGTGGGTATCAAAATGCCAAACACAGTAAGAAAAGCCGGCCTCATTCTCCTGACACCGAAGGAACACTCATTTTCGCAGCGTTGGGTAGGGCGAGTACGAACCGGCTGCTAAAATATCTGGACTATTCTAAGCTACATACATTGCGAAGGACTAAGATGGTGATCTGTAACTACAATGCACGCACACATGCATCCGAGTACTCGATAGAAGACTTGCTCATGCAAGCAAGAAGGACAAGGTACGACGTCATCAGCCTGGCCGAGATGAGAAGACGCCCGCCTTTCAACGCCATCTATGACCCGGAGGACTGTTCCACGGAACATGCGACAGTATAGGAGTCGGCGGCGTCGGCGTTCTCGTCAACATGAGTTTTTCCATGAACATCGATTGATTGGAGCAACTAACAATCCAAATCGAACGTTTACTATTGAAGAGGTGTAGATCAATACCGAATTTGACAATTTTAGTCGTTTACGAGCCGACGTCAAAGTATGACGAAGAAGAAGTCGATCCATTTTATACGGAGTTGAAAAATCCTACAGAGATGACCACGCATTCTTCAATGTCATCATAGAAGATTTAAGCGCCATCAAGATTTTGGATCAAGAAAAGTGTCTGAAGAACGTCACATTGGGACCCATGGATTAGAATGAAGCGAGAAGGTTGAGCAGCACTCCGAGTTTATCATGAGGAGCAAGTCCATTAATGCTAACTTGCAATTCTGGAAGCCCCACCCTTAACGCATGGACGTGGGAGTCTCCAAATGGAGAGTACCATAACGAAATAGACCACATCACAGTAAATCGATGGTTTTGCTTGACGGATGTCGCTGTTGTCTCAAAATTCTACACGAGATCAGACCATCGCCTTCATCGTGCAATATCTCTTTTCCCTGCAAGGAGGAAAAGCCAGTAAATTCAAAAAGCAAAGTCCGAAAACCACTACAAACTGGGTGTTCTACAACTCTTTACTCGGCTGTTCAGATGATGGGGTTCTGGATAACACAGACTAGGAATACGACTGACTCATTCAATTTCACGATAGTGCTATAAAAGCTGAGCGTCTGAAAATCACCAAGAGACGTTTGTCTCCAGAAACACTCGAGCTGATACGCCAACATGGAAACGCACGAGCTGCGGGCAACCCCAAACTCACATTTGAATTGCAAAGCAATGCAGACAAGCGATAAAAGAAGATCTTAAAGACAGAACAGCAGCTGTTATGTTCGAAGCTGCAGAGGCTGGAAAAAGCATTCATAAAACCCACCGAAGTTTCGCCAATTACAAAACCAAGTCGATTGCACTCCGACGCCCAGATGGAACGAAAATCATTAACGAATACTAGTCAGATCTCTTCAATATGCCACATCCTCCTTCCTTCATATGAAATAAAGGACGATGGATTTGTCGTACCACCGGTTCTCTCTTCCGAAGTTCGACATACTATTTTGTTGGTGAGAAATCGAACAGCTACAGTCCCGGACAGCATGAGATCTATCTGGACACCTGAAGGACCTTCCACCAGTTCTCGTGAACACACTAGCTCGCCTCTTCACACGTTACCTGTCTTAATGCAAAATGCAAGGCCCCTACTCAATGAAGACCAGCAAGACCGTGTTATTGTTCATGAAGGGTGATCTTCACGATATCGGCAACTACCGCGCAGTCTGCTTGTCTACAAACTTTTCACGCGATTCATCCTAAACAGCGTTGACAGAACACTGGTCAAAGGACAGCCATCTGAGCAAACAGGGTTTCAAAAAGGGTTCAGTATGATAAACCACATCCATACGATTACAAAATCTACTCAAATATTGCGAGTATACAAGGAATCACTCTGTCTCACATTCATCGATTTAAAAAAGGCCTCTGGCTCAAGTGAGATATGAACATTCATGGAAGCCCAACACAGCCACAGACTCCCTATTCTGTATATGAAAATTCTTCGCGAGCTATATAAAAATTTCACAACAGAGATGTTTCCATTCTACAACGATATTAAGTTCGACGTAAAAACAACGCTTGGGCAAGGCGATACCATCTCGCCAAAATTTTTTACCGCCACCGTCGAGAGACCGTGCAAACAATGCAATAGGACAACATGGGACTGAAAATCGATGGTAGGCAATTGCACCATTTCTGCTTTGCTAATGACATCGTTCTTATAACTCCAAACATTAGCCAACGAAACGAATGCTTGCTGACTTTGATAAAGCCTGTGGAAAGATTGGTCTTTTACTAAATCTCACAAAAACGATGTCCATGAAGTACGATTGATTACGTCTGACCAACTCACGCTCAACGGAACGAATAACTCCGAATGCTCCAGTTATGTCTATCTAGGTCTGGAAATCAACATGTTGGAAGACTTAGCTCTTGAGTTGAGCAGAATGGAACGAGAGGTTTGGGGAGCTTTCAAGAGCGTCGAGAATGTAGTGAAGAGAACAAAGAACATCCAACTCCGTGCCCACCTTTTCGATTCAACGGTACTTCCTGCCCTAACGTATGCGTTAGAAACCTGGTCGCAGGATGAAAAACAACTCGGCGTTATTGAAGGCGCTGCCGAAAGGACGATGCTAGGAGTGTCGCATGTTACACAAGCAAGGGAGGGGATCCGAAGCTCTGACCTGCGTCAACGATCAAAAATCAAAGATACCGTTCTGTATGCCAAACAGTCCAAGGCAAAATGGGTCGATTAAACGACAACCGATTGACAAAAGCCGTTAGTGACTGGATTCCTAGGAATGTCACAACTACTGCAGGAAGACCCCGATCCGATTGCCAGAAATCTTTGCGAAAATCCTGCAAGAAACGTATGATGCACATCGGGTTTCTAGAGCCGACAGAACCCACTAGGCTACTGTTGCGCGCTACAGAGAAAAATGAAGGAATTGCTGACGCCCGCTCGAGTCACTCGACGATCAAGGTGCGTGCAGGTGACACAGCTGACAGGTTGTACTCAGTGTTCACTGAACGCTCATAGTACATGTACGAGGTGTTCTCTGTGATTAGAGAACCGACCAATTTGATCTGCTCACCTAATGAGCATGATAGGACGCGTGTGACGCAGTAGTTGGAGGCACTTTGCAGCGCACACGTGGAATCGATCCCCCGCTGCCATGACCCACCAAACCTTCCATCGCTTCGAGATTGCCAAATTCTTACCAGACTTGTCTGAGAGGATAGAACATTCTAAACGAAACTCTTCTTATCGCAAGTCGTATAGAAAAAAATACGGCTTAGGATTTATGTGACGCGTGAGACACCTGTGGCGCAGTAGTTGGAGGCACCTTCTAACACACACGTGGAATCGATCCCCACGTCCATAGTTCACGAACCCTTCCTTCTCTCCGGGGTCGGAAAATTGATACCAGACTTGCCTCTGAGGTTAGCAACACTGGATCGATACATTGGTATTATAACTAACTGATAGCAGGCTGGAAGTAGCGTCAGCTCGTTGAAAATTGCGTTTTCCGGGGTTGCGGTGGGCAACTCGTCTGCGGCTACAAGTAACGCGTGCGCATGGTCAGTTTTCGCATTTTTTCGGGCTTAAAACGCGTTTTTGGGCGATTTTCTGGCGCGGCTCCCCTTCCCACCGCCTTGGAACCCCAAACCCTCACCGCGGGTCCTTGTAAAGGCCAGATATGAATTCACTCATCTCCAACGATACTTAATGAAGTTGAATGTATGGTATGGTGCATCCCTCAAAGATTGATCAACCCCGAGAGCTTCATTCTTTTTGTTGATCAATCTTTGAGGGATGCACCATACCAAACATTCAACTTCATTAAGTATTTAAAAGTGGTAAAGGAAAAGTTGTACATCAATGTTTTCCACTCTACAATCTCTATCTCGAATCCCGAAATCGTTGCTGCTGGAAAACAGCAAGAAATTTTACTCTCTGAAGTTCGAGTTTTGATAGAAATCATGAAAAAAGGCACAGCACCAGGAACCAATAACATCACCGCCGATTTCCTGAGAGCTGGAGGCCAGTAAATAACATGCATCTTCTCGCAATACTAGTGAGACCTTAGTTTCAGAAGGAGAAAATGCCAGAGCAATGCAGGACGTTGCCCACGGTCAACCTGCATAAGAAAGCCGGGCGAAAGTGACTTCGTAACCATCATCTGATTTGTTCGTTGAGTGCATTCTGCAAGCTAACAACCCAAACTATCCTACCGCGGAATTTAAAAGCCTTGGATGAGGCATAACTAATTCAGCAAACAGGCTTTCGACAACGACTCTACTGTGTGGACCAAATCCAGACCATGTCGCATGCCATAGAACTCTGTCAAAGTGCCATCTGCCCGTTGTCCCAATCGTTATCCACCATGAGGACGCGTTTACGAACTTCGAAACGAATTTAATCCTATCGGTGACCATTGAGAAATGAGTAAACGTCGTATCCTAGATACGAACACTAGATGATTATAATGGAAATTGCAGAACAATCACATAGCAATTTTAATCGAACCCCCACCATAGCCACTCGAAAATGGATTTCACGATAGATACAATATCACCAAAAATGTTTACTGTAGAACTGGTGTGGATAACAAACTCGCGCTGGGACGAGAAGGTCATGCGTAATCTTGGAAAATACCCATAAAATCTTTGACACGCGGTTGATTTCACCATTTTTTCAAGGCTACCAGTCAAGTAGAGATCATGCTCAATGAGTTTCAACGAGTTGGAGAAAAGATTAAACTATGCTTAAATCGGAAGAATACAAAACTCGTGAAAAACTCATGATATGGGTCGAAAGCCTGTTTGTTGAAATAGTTATCTCTCATCCAAGGCTTTTAAATTCCGCGATAGGATAGTTTGCGTTGTTAGCTTGCAGAATGCGCTCAACGAACAAATCAGATGATGGTTACGAAGTCACTTTCGCCCGGCCTTCTTATGCAAGTTGGCCGTGGGCAACGTCCTGCATTGCTCTGGTATTTTCTCCTTCTGAAACTAAGGTCTCACTAGTATTGCGAGAAGATGCATGTTATTTACTGGCCTCCAGCTCAGGAAATCGGCGGTAATGTTATTGGTTCCTAGTGCTGTGCCTTTTTTCATGATTTCTATCAAAACTCGAACTTCAGAGAGTAAAATTTCTTGCTGTTTTCCAGCAGCAACGATTTCGGGATTCGAGATAGAGATTGTAGAGTGGAAAACATTGGTGTAGAACTTTTCCTTTACCACTTTTAAATATTGATGCGTTATAATAATAGTCCTACCTTCATTCATCAGGGTGATAGCGGAGCATTGTAGTGGCAAAGACCCCGACGGCGATTCATTAGATTAGAACTTTTTGAGCTGCTTCTAACAACTATTTTTGCTTGTAGCGATGCAAATCCTTCTGTAAAGATCTTATACAGTTGACATTTATTATCAGTAGTGCTATGTGGTGTATTGTAGCAAGACCAAGGTGCAGTCTTCTGTTTTCGAGCAACTGCTTAGTGATAATAAAGATAAGGTCTGAATTTTTTTTCGAGGAGCTGAGATGAGGAACAGATTTTAATCCTTCCACAAGGAGCTTCTAGTCCTTGGTTGGGCCGAAGAAAGGATTGTATTAAGAATATCTCTTTTTTTTACTTATTTCGTCTTTCTTGGAAGATGACAAAGGTTTTTTTTCCAGAATATGGCTGGATCTAATCTTGAAAGCAGAAGGCGATGCTCAGATCCAGTACAGAATCTAGGTACCACTGAAGTGTCAAAAAAGCATCATTTTCTTTTGTGAGAAAGTAACAGATCTCCTCGCGAGCCGTGTTATTTGCAAACACCCGTGGTCTTCTTCAGTTTTCTCTCTTCTCATAAAATGAAATTCAATGAAAAAGACATGCTACGGACAGAAATCCCACAAGACGGCTTTCATTCTCATTTTGTTGTCTTATTCCCAATTCTCCTATTCCGCATTGATTTTCGATGGGCGTTTCTAATTTTGCATTGAAGTCTTCCACAAGGAATTTCTAGAAGGAAAACTCCGTGTGGGCTACTTCCTTCATTTGGTTATAGAACACTTCCAGTTTTCTCTCGTCTGATTTATAAATTGGTTATCAGGTTGTGACAGTGACTTTTTTGACGCGGAAGTTGGAGACGAAGAATGACCAGAAATGGTGTCAAGATTTCGCATGAAGTGACTACATGAGACGTAGACAGAGCAATCACATGGAATTTAATGCGATCAGCAACCCAAAGAAGAGCTTCGATGTCGGCGACCGAAGAGTCTGTTTTGGTGTTATAAGTCCGGCGGAATAACCAGTGCTTATGGTATTTCGTTGGAGTGTTGTTTAGTCCGTTCCCCATGAAGTGATATTCAACTCAAGATTTGATCGCATTTCAAAGGTTTGTCCCACTGCCCGTCATCGTAGACAGGAGCTGCCAGTGTACGGCGCACTGAAGCCGGTGCTTTACTGGGTTAGCCAGTGTGGCCGGTGTGGTTCTCCTGACTTCCGTGGTCGGCCTAGCCGAAGCCTTTCTCTTGTCGTCATCACTTCATGCGGTCACGACCCTTCTTACGTTGTTCAATTTCATGTTAATATTGAGAAAAGATAAACCGAAGAAAGAAAAGAAAAGATAAAAGTTATACCGAAGAAGTAGAAAACTTCAAAAAGCTACGGCCGAACACTGCTTTTCTTGATGAGGAAACCATTCGTTTTTATTACGCATTTATTAATGCACAGTAGCTGACGTTTTTGTGGTATCGTCTTTTTCATAGCCTGGAAAGGTCAAATCAACAAATAATCTACTCAGACAAACACTTTAATAACCTCAGGAGACAAATGATATCATGAAAATTTTTATTCGCATAACAAGCAGCATCAGAGCATCAGCATTTAAACACTAGCCGTTTTGTTGTGTTTAAAAGTGTTTATGAGTTCTCTTGTATTTATTTCTATGTATTTCTTGTATTTAACAGTCCTGAAGAGTTTTAAAGAGTATTAAAAAAACTGTTTTGTCTGCTGAGGCTATTAAAGTGTTTGACTGAATAGATGGCGTCTCAGTCTAATTCTAGGGTCTAAAGAAAGCGAAATCGCCCGGACGTCAGCTATTGCGTATTATTAATAAATGTTGTAATACCAGCCACGTGTTTCCTCATCAAGGGAAACAGTGAATTATGGACCTACGCCGAGCTATGAAAAAAATTAGCTTTCGAATTAGCATTTGAACCCTTTAAGGCGATCGAAGAGATCACGAAAGGACCTGAAGTTAGATATGGCGTGATGGATTGTACAAATGTAATGACATAGATGTGTTATTATAAATTTAGTAGATCATTCGTAATTTAATTCGTACTATTTGCTCATAAACGATCTGGTTCCAACTTGTTAGTGACAACCATAAGCACATTCCACTTAGCAAAATAAATCTACGAGTTTTTGTGAGTTTTTTTGGGCACAAAAACTTGTAAATTACTGCAGTGCTCTATGAATGAGTAATGAGACCAGTGGGATTTGGAGGCCAAGCTGCTGGGAAGTACTTTTGGAATCGTTCTTGCAACGTTCACTGTTTCGACACTGGGAAGTAGAAGATGCTGTCAACGGACGGTCAAGCGCAAGGCTAGAACTGAACGGCTCAGTTTTGGGTTGTTGGCTGCTGGAAGGCATAGGAGCAGCACCAGAATCCCGATAGACCCTACCTGCTCAGGCCTTCAAGGTGCTATTTAGCACTTCACGTATTTGGTGATTCCTGGAAATATTGAATGCTACTA